TTCTGTTCTCGACATACATTTTTTTTCTTTTGGTTTCGAACAGAAAGAAAAAAAAGAGCAGCTAAAGAATGTAATTAACCTAGAATAAAAAGATTTTTAACCCTAGCTAACCGTACAAACATTCTCTCATCTTTTCTATCTTAATTAAGGTGTGTGTGTATGTGTGTGTGTGTATATATATATAGTGTACCCGCGCAAAGCAGCGGCGACAAATAGTTTTCGGGCTGTAATTAACTCATTTCGTTGAATAGTTTCCTTGTGGCAAAACAGTAAATAAAAATTTAATAATGAATCTTGTACATCAAATTGTCACGAATGAAATAACCATTAACCATAACAAATAAAAAACAGTAGTAAACAGAAGATCTATCCCCTAACTACTATGCCATGAAACAAAAGGTTCACATGCATCAAATCAATCACTCGTATAGCTTTTGCTAATCATCCTTAAATTTGGCCTTCACTCATGCTTAACCATTATTAATTTTTGGTTTGCATATTAAATGTTTCAACAAAATTCTTATGTTTCCGACTAGTAATTTTCATGCTTAAGCAAGTTGTAATGTTTTTTTTGTACAACAATAAAGCAAAGTTTAAGAAGGTTATAAATTCTTATGAAGCTATAAATTCTGAAAGAAATAACATCAAGTAAAGAAAAATAAGCTTGCTGAAGAATGGAAACTCGGTTTGAAGACCGGTGAAGAATGGAAAGTAAGGCAATAATATTCGTTCAGAATGGATTAACATTTATTCTATCAGAATGATTAGTAACTATATTCTATCATAATGTATTAGTATTTTACTTAGATTTCAATGTTTTGATTTGATTTTTAATCATTCCCAGTTTTATTCTTAAAGAATAAATGTAATTGTTAACCATTATTACTTATATTCTTTTAGAATGAATGTCATTTATGTATGTTCATAATTGTTTTGTTAAGAATGAATATAATTACTGATTTTAAGATATTAAAATTCTTTTCTTATCAAATTTGTATTCATTAAAAATTATTAATCTTGATAATACATGTTTTTAATATTTTGTCAGAATTTAATATTTTTTTTCAAGATTATCATAAACATATTCCTTTAGATTGTACGAATTAATATATTTATTATCGAAAAAACAAATTTTTTTTAAATTTATAGAATTAATTATTCCTTAAAATCTTGTACATCAAATTGTCACGTATGAAAGAACTATTAACCATAACATACAAAAAACAGTAATAAGACGATCTATCCTCCTAACTACTATGCCATGAAACAAAAGGTTCACGTGCATCAAATCAACCACTCATATAGCTTTTGTAAATCATCCTTAGATTTGGCCTTTAATTGTTCCCTTTTTAACTTGAGTGCGGCTGTCACTAATCCGGATTCAGGTGTCCATGGATCTGGCAGCAGCTTTATCTTTGCAGGAAGCTCAAACATGTCTAACTTTGCCTCTTTTCCTAACTACAAAACACAATTCATAAGAAAAAGGTGGGAGGATGTGATGAACAAAGATATAAACACCCTCATTGAAATATAAATTAAAACCAACTTGGAGAGAGATTGGTGGACCTCGGAGACAGCCTCTTTTTTAGCACAAAGCTCAACATAATCATTGTAACTAAGGCCACCACTTTTAGCCCATTGCTTAAGAACCTGGTGTGCAGTGCAGAGACTACTAATGATACATAATAACTGGTCTATACAGTTAGATAGATTAAAAATCTTTTCTTCTAGGTTAATTTCATTCTTTGGCTGCTCTTGTTTTCTTTCTTTTCAAAACCAATGGAAAAAAATGTATGTCGAAAACAGAATGCTGAGAATGTAGGAGACGGAGATGAGTTGGAGGCGCAGAATGCCGAGAATGCCGAACAGATCTTCTCCCGTCGTCGGCAATGGGTTAAACACAATAATTTTCGATTAATGGTGTTTTTGTCAACAAAAACACAATCTCTCTCCAAAGTTGCTCCCATGACCTGCTGAACAGATCATCACGTGAAACTAATGTCGTCATTAATTGGTGTTTTTGTTAACAAAAATCCCAACTTTAGTCCTTTTTGATCTGTACTAAATAAACACAATAACTGGTGTGTACGGTTAGCTAGGGTTAAAAATCTTTTCTTCTAGTTTAATTTCATTTTTTAGCTGCTCTTGTTTTCTTTCTGTTCGAAACCAAAAGAAAAAAAAAAGTATGTCGAGAACAGAATGCTGAGAATGCCGGAGACGGAGATGAGTTGGAGGCGCACTCAAATTAAAAAGCGAACAATTGAAGGCCAAATTTAAAGATGATTTGCAAAAGCTATACAAGTGATTGATTTGATGCACGTGAACCTTTCTTTTCATGGCATAGTAGTTAGGAGGATAGATCGTTTGTTTACTGTTTTTTATTTGTTATGGTTAATGGTTCTTTCATACGTGACAATTTGATGTACAAGATTCATTATTAAATTTTTATTCACTGTTTTGCCACAAGGAAACTATTCAACGAAATGAGTTAATTACCGTCCGGAAACTATTTGTCGCCGCCGCTTTGCATGGGTACACCACTAGTATGTATATATATATATATATATATATATATATATATATATATATATATATATATATATATATAGACACACACACACACGTTAATTAAGAAAGAAGGGATGAGAGAATGTTTGTACGGTTAGCTTCGGTTAAAAATCTTATTTTCTAGGTTAATTTCATTCTTTAGTTGCTCTTGTTTTCTTTCTGGTTCGATACCAAAAGAAAAAAATGTATGTCGAGAACAGAATGTTGAGAATGTCGGAGGCGGAGATGAGATGATACAAAAATCATATTATTTTTTTACATCTTTCTCAACAACATACCTGCATAGAAACATGACATGTATTTTTTTTAAAAATAAATTAATCTTTAAAGATTTTTACTTAATAATAATAATAATAATAATAATAATAATAATAATAATAATAATAATAATAATAAAAGGTTTACCATGGTCCTCCTGCAAGACCCAAACCTTGGCGTTGACCAATTGTGTAAATCCAGAAACCCCTGTGGACTCCTAAAAAATCACCTGCTTCAGCATCGAATAATATACCTTCTTTTTCACGGATATGTTTTCCAACAAATTCTGTGAACCAAATCAGTATAATAATTACATAAATTTCCACTTAATATATATATATATATATATATATATATATATATATATATATATATATATATATGTATATATATATATATATATATATATATCATCTCCAAAGTTGGGATTTTTGTTAATAAACATAACATAAACATACCTTCCCAAGAAAGCATATTCCCTATGAATCCCTTCTTTCTTGGTTAGGCAAATCAAATTTCCGGGCAACCTTCGGACTTCTTCCTGATGATTTGATTGGTTTACATAGTAAATTCATGAATTCTGTTTTGTGTTTCATAAAGCAAACTTACTTACTTTTGGAATAATTCTAAGAGGAAGCACTAGTCTTTTAAATTGAGCTTGTGAGAGATATGAAAGAAAGTAGGTCTGATCCTTCACCATAAATTCTAATATGTATCCCTTACTGACAGGTATCAGGAAGTTGGTAATGAAAATAAGTAGAGCATATTTTTACCATATCCTTTGACAGCTGAAGAAATGAAAGCTCATTGGTTTCATCTGTAAGGGGGTGAATAACTTTTGCATAATGTCCAGAAGCAACAAACTCAAAATCCATGTTACTGATGGCATCCATGAACGCACCTACAGATATAAAATAAAAATGAAACTAATGACAACTAAGAACAATAAAAGATGAAAGCAAGCAATATGATTACGCACCAAATTTGAATCTTGTATTGCAAAGAACATCAGGGTTAGGTGTACACCCATATTTATACTCATCAATAAGGTAAGATGCCTGCAACATATTAACTTGTAAGCAATAAGTTCCATTGATGATGATGAATGTGAGAAAATGCATCAAGAGGGGTGTGTGACTAACCACTTTGTCCTAATATTCCTCTGTCAGATGTACAACTTCGAGTGCTACATCAACGTGAAAAAAAAATGTTGATATATTTCCTTCAATACTAATCAAACTTGGAGGAAACAAAGAAAAAGATCACATAATCATTGGTTTGAGTGATAGAATCGAGAAGTTAATCTGTTAAAACAAAGCAGGGAAATGTTTTTGAGCCTTCAAATCCAGTTAAGCACTAACGGAAATCTGAAGATAAAATGAGATGGATAATATGAAGGTGAAGAAAGTAACCTAATTGCAAACAGCTTTTGCGTACTTCAAATCCTCTTCCCATGGACATTTAGACCAAAAGTTTTGGAAATCTTCCTACAAACGAATTTAGTACCAGAACTAGCTAAGGAATTATAGGTTTTAAACTTCAAAATGCTCAAAGACAAAGAGAAAGGTAAAAGTAAAATAAGAAACCAATAAGAGAGGAGATTTTTATTCATTTCAATCATATCATCCAGCACAAAAATCGATGTTAAACTCTTGAATTGGAGCAGATGTATCATCCGACAAGAGATGAGAAATTTGCAAAAACTTACAATTTGAATTTTTAGATAGCCAACAAAATTAAGTTTATATTCGAAACGAGACATTATGGGCATAAACCTGAATGATTTGATTTGTATATGCATTGTAATGTTAATAAAAAGAAAAGCATACGCACTTTAAACCAGATTTTAAGGTAGAAAGCGGTGCAGGAGTGTCCGGATGCGTGGAGGAGGCGAAGTGCGACACTGTTATCAACGCCACCACTTAGAAGAACCGTAATTTTGAAAGGGCGCTTGCTATTGGTCATTGAGCAAGACAAGTAACTGTTGTCCAAATCAAAAGTCGTGGCGTTAGAAATTTGGGGAACTGCTGTAGATGATAGAGAACGAGGTGTGTTGATGGATAAGATTGTTCTATCAGCTTGAGGGTAGCTTTGTCGATTTATTAACCGCTAGGGTTTGTAAAGCTAACCGATGGGGATTGTGAAGCGAGTGTGAGACGAAAGCCTTGAGGGGTAAACAGTACAGCTTGGTGGTGGGATGAAACAGAGCGGCCATTGTTGTTCTGAGCATCATTTCATCGAGCTTTTGCGCCGTGTTGATGACACTGTGCGTGAAAATAATAATTTAGAATGAACTATTTACACTTTCACCCCTATACTTTAAATTTCCTGTCACTTTTATATCAAGACATAAAAAGTTAAACATTACTACTAGCCTAATAGAAAGCTCAGCATAATCATTGAAATATAAGGTAAACACATCTTTAATTTGCAAAAACAGTACAACTTACTAGCATGTAATGTCATTTTCATATCATTCTTACACCAGACACCTATAATGCTACGCTCGCAACGGCTCGTCCCCGTCGCCAGCATTTTGCGCCTCCAACTCATCTCTGTCTCTGGAATTCTCAGCGTTCTGTTCTCGACATACATTTTTTTTCTTTTGGTTTCGAACAGAAAGAAAAAAAAGAGCAGCTAAAGAATGTAATTAACCTAGAATAAAAAGATTTTTAACCCTAGCTAACCGTACAAACATTCTCTCATCTTTTCTATCTTAATTAACGTGTGTGTATGTATGTGTGTGTGTGTGTGTATATATATATATATATATAGTGTACCCGCGCAAAGCGGCGGCGACAAATAGTTTTCGGGCGGTAATTAACTCATTTCGTTGAATAGTTTCCTTGTGGCAAAACAGTGAATAAAAATTTAGTAATGAATCTTGTACATCAAATTGTCACGAATGAAATAACCATTAACCATAACAAATAAAAAACAGTAGTAAACAGAAGATCTATCCTCCTAACTACTATGCCATGAAACAAAAGGTTCACATGCATCAAATCAATCACTCGTATAGCTTTTGCTAATCATCCTTAAATTTAGCCTTCACTCATGCTTAACCATTATTAATTTTTGGTTTGCATATTAAATGTTTCAACAAAATTCTTATGTTTCCGACTAGAAATTTTCATGCTTAAGCAAGTTGTAATGTTTTTTTTTGTACAACAATGAAGCAAAGTTTAAGAAGGTTATAAATTCTTATAAAGCTATAAATTCTGAAAGAAATAGCATCAAGTAAAGAAAAAGAAGCTTGGTGAAGAATGGAAACTCGGTTTGAAGACCGGTGAATAATGGAAAGTAAGGCAACAATATTCGTTCAGAATGGATTAACATTTATTTTATCAGAATGATTAGTTACTATATTCTATCATAATGTATTAGTATTTTACTTAGATTTCAATGTTTTGATTTGATTTTTAATCATTCTCAGTTTTATTCTTAAAGAATAAATGTAATTGTTAACCATTATTACTTATATTCTTTTAGAATAAATGTCATTTATGTATGTTCATAATTGTTTTGTTAAGAATGAATATAATTACTGATTTTAAGATATTAAAATTATTTTCACATGAAATTTGTATTCATTAAAAATTATTCATCTTGATAATACATGTTTATAATATTTTGTCAGAATTTAATATTTTTTTTCAAGATAATCATAAACATATTCCTTTAGAATGTACGATATAATATATTTATTATCGAAAAAAACAGATTTTTAAAATTCAGAGAATTAATTATTCCTTAAAATCATGTACATCAAATTGTCACGTATGAAAGAACTATTAACCATAACAAATAAAAAACAGTAATAAGACGATCTATCCTCCTAACTACTATGCCATGAAACAAAAGGTTCACGTGCATCAAATCAATCACTCGTATAGCTTTTGTAAATCATCCATAAATTTGGCCTTCATTTGGTCCCTTTTTAACTTGAGTGCGGCTGTTACTAATCCGGATTCAGGTGTCCATGGATCTGGCAGCAGCTTTATCTTTGCAGGAAGCTCAAACATGTCTAACTTTGCCTCTTTTCCTAACTACAAAACACAATTCATAAGAAAAAGGTGGGAGGATATGATGAACAAAGACATAAACACCCTCATTGAAATATAAATTAAAACCAACTTTGGAGAGAGATTGGTGGACCTCGGAGACAGCCTCTTTTTTAGCACAAAGCTCAACATAATCATTGTAACTAATGCCACCACTTTTGGCCCATTGCTCAAGAACCTGGTGTGCAGTGCAGAGACTACTAATGATACACAATAACTGGTCTATACGGTTAGATAGATTAAAAATCTTTTCTTCTAGGTTAATTTCATTCTTTAGCTGCTCTTGTTTTCTTTCTGTTCGAAACCAAGGGAAAAATGTATGTCGAGAACAGAATGTTGAGAATGTAGGAGACGGAGATGAGTTGGAGGCGCAGAATGCCGAGAATGCCGAACAGATCTTCTTCCGTCGTCGGCATTGGGTTAAACACAATAATTTTCGATTAATGGTGTTTTTGTCAACAAAAACACAATCTCTCTACAAAGTTGCTCCCATGACCTGCTGAACAGATCATCACGCGAAACTAATGTCGTCATTAATTGCTGTTTTTGTTAACAAAAATCCCAACTTTAGTCCTTTTTGATCTGTACTAAATAAACACAATAACTGGTGTGTACGGTTAGCTAGGGTTAAAAATCTTTTCTTCTACGTTAATTTCATTTTTTAGCTACTCTTGTTTTCTTTCTTTTCGAAACCAAAAGAAAAAAAAAGTATGTCGAGAACAGAATGCTGAGAATGCCGGAGACGGAGATGAGTTAGAGGCGCACTCAAATTAAAAAGGGAACAATTGAAGGCCAAATTTAAAGATGATTTGCAAAAGCTATACAAGTGATTGATTTGGTGCACGTGAATCTTTCTTTTCATGGCATAGTAGTTAGGAGGATAGATCGTTTGTTTACTGTTTTTATTTGTTATGGTTAATGGTTCTTTCATACGTGACAATTTGATGTACAAGATTCATTATTAAATTTTTATTCACTGTTTTGCCACAAGGAAACTATTCAACGAAATGAGTTAATTACCGCCCAAAAACTATTTGTCGCCGCCACTTTGCGCGGGTACACCACTAGTATATATATATATATATATATATATATATATACACACACACACACGCGTTAATTAAGAAAGAAGAGATGAAAGAATGTCTGTACGGTTAGCTTGGGTTAAAAATCTTTTCTTCTAGGTTAATTTCATTCTTTAGCTGCTCTTGTTTTCTTTCTGGTTCGATACCAAAAGAAAAAAAGGTATGTCGAGAACAGAATGTTGAGAATGTCGGAGGCGGAAATGAGTTGGAGGCGCAGAATGCCGAGAATGCCGATGACGGGGATGAGCCTTGCATTATATGTGTCTGGTGTAAGAATGATATGAAAGTGGCGTTACATGCTAGTAAGGTGTATTGTTTTATTCTTACCACACATACACACTCACAAAAGACATGAATTTTGTTCCAAGTGGAAGTGGAAAGTCAACTGTAATAAGTTTATGCAAAGATTATCTGATTGTGACGTCTGCATATAGATGGTTGTAAACTTTAAACAATTGAGTAGAAGAAAAATACTACAAATAAGAAGATTGAAGTAGCTAATATTGTGATTGCGCTTGCTTTGGACTTCATCAATAAGTTGCCTCTAGCAAGTAAAATGTCCGAGTTAATTTCATTATAATCATTTTGGTAAAAGCAGTAACATTCCTCATTAAGTTTGTTTCGTGGCTTACAATGGTAGATGATAAAATCATCAAGTCATTGATTAATGTGGTGTTAGTCTGGTAGATAGTGAAAAAGAGGTAGCGATGGATGAGTGGGAGTCGATTATTGGTTGGGCAGAAAAAAAAAAATAGCAACAAGGGCTTTCTGATAGCTTCTTCCCTTCCAATTAAAAACTTCCTGCTTTGGACTTGTAGTTTAATTTTTTTTAATTTTTTTCATTATTGTTTTAATCAAACTTTGTAAAAAGTATTGTTTACTCAATCCAAAGTAAGGTTGTTAGTTTTTAACAATTAATTGATACTCAAGTTTTCTGTAATATTAAATAAATATATTTGAACATAAACAGAAACAGGAAACCCCTTAGCATATCGAATCCCTCAAACAATCTTGAGGTTTTGGTTTGATCTTGACGGGTTTACCAAGCTTAGATTTATCTTCCATTTTTGCAATATGACGACACTTGTCAGAAACAGAAACAGGAAACCCCTTAGCATCATACCATGATTCCAAAATTACCCCTGACCCCACACAAAGCTCTTGTTGATAAAAAGCTGCAAATTGGCCATCTGCAAGACCGTGATCGTCTTCAGGTAACTGGACAGTGCCAATAGCATACTTTTCTTCTATATGCAAACTGCAATCATAGAAAAGAGGGCCATGTCGAACCTGTCAAAAACACGTGTATATGTATATTAAGTTTGTTATTAACTGAAAAATTGAAGTCATGTAATGTTTATGTTTACCTTGCATCTTAAGTGGTTTAAGTTGTGAGGAGGATATACGCAGATCCTTCTGAAGGATCCAACACGAAATGATCGTCGTCTTTTATCAACCAAATAATAGTTTCTTGATACAAAAATCATATTATTTTTTTACATCTTTCTCAACAACATACATGCATAGAAACATGACATGTATTTTTTTATAAATAAATTAGTCTTTAAAGATTTTTACATAATAATAATAATAATAATAATAATAATAATAATAATAATAATAATATTATTATTAAAAGGTTTACCATGGTCCTCCTGCAAGACCCAAACCTTGGCGTTGACCAATTTTGTAAAACCAGAAACCCCTGTGGACACCTAAAAAATCACCTGTTTCAGCATCTAATAATATACCTTCTTTTTCACCAATATGTTTTCCAACAAATTCTGTAAACCAAATCAGTATAATATTACATAAATTTCCACTTAATATATAATCATATATATATATATTATATATATATATATATATATAATATATATATATATATATATATATATATATATATATAATATATATATATATAAAATATATATATCCTCTCAAAGTGGGATTTTTGTTAATAAACATAACATAACATCCTTCCAAGAAAGCATATTCCCTATGAATCCCTTCTTTCTTGGTTAGGCAAATCAAATTTTCGGGCAACCTTCGGACTTCTTCCTGATAATTTGATTGGTTTAAATAGTAAATTCATGAATTCTGTTTTGTGTTTCATAAAGCAAACTTGCTTACTTTTGGAATAATTCTAAGAGGAAGCACTAGTCTTTTAGCTGAGCTTGTGAGAGAGATATGAAAGAAAGTAGGTGGTAATCCTTCACCATAAATTCTAACATGTATCCCTCACTGACAGGTATCAAGAAGTTGGTAATGAAAATAAGTAGAGCATATATTTACCATATCCTTTGACAGCTGAAGAAATGAAAGCTCATTGGTTTCATCTGCAAGGGGGTGAATAAATTTTGCATAATGTCCAGAAGCAACAAACTCAAAATCCATGTTACTGATGGTATCCATGAACGCACCTACAGATATAAGATAAAAATGAAATTAATGACAAATAAGAACAATAAAAGATGAAAGCAAGCAATATGATTACGCACCAAATTTGAATCTTGTATTGCAAAGAACATCAGGGTTAGGTGTACACCCACATTTATACTCATCAATAAGGTAAGATGCCAGCAACATATTAACTTGTAAGCAATAAGTTCCATTGATGATGATGAATGTGAGAGAATGCATCAAGAGGGGTGTGACTAACCACTTTGTCCTAATATTCATCTGTCAGATGTACAACTTCGAGTGCTACATCAACGTGAAAAAAAAATGTTGATATATTTCCTTCAATACTAATCAAACTTGGAAGAAACAAAGAAAAAGATCACATAATCAGGGATTTGAGTGATAGAATCGAGAAGTTAATCTGTTAAAACAAAGCAGGGAAATGTTTTTGAGCCTTCAAATCTAGTTAAGCACTAACGGAAATCTGAAGATAAAATGAGATGGATAATATGAAGGTGAAGAAAGTAACCTGATTGCAAACAGCTTTTGAGTACTTCAAATCCTCTTCCCATGGACATTAGACCAAAAGTTCTGGAAATCTTCCTACGAACGAATTTAGTACCAGAACTAGCTAAGGAATTATAGATTTTAAACTTCAAAATGCTCAAAGACAAAGAGAAAGGTAAAAGTAAAATAAGAAACCAATAAGAGAGGAGATTTTTATTCATTTCAATCATATCATCCAGCACAAAAATCGATGTTAAACTCTTGAATTGGAGCAGATGTATCATCCGACAAGAGATGAGAAATTTGCAAAAACTTACAATTTGAATTTTTAGATAGCCAACAAAATTAAGTTTATATTCGAAACGAGACATTATGGGCATAAACCTGAATGATTTGATTCGTATATGCATTTTATTGTCAATAAAAAGAAAAGCATATGCACTTTGAACCAGATTTTAAGGTAGAAAGCGGTGCAGGAGTGTTCGGATGCGTAGAGCAGGCGAAGTGCGACACTGTTATCAACGTCACCATTTAGAAGAACCATAATTTTGAGAGGGCGCTTGCTATTGGTCATTGAGCATGACAAGAAACTGTTGTCCAAATCAGAAGTCGTGTCGTTAGAAATTTGTGGAACTGCTGTAGATGACAGAGAACGAGGTGTGTTGATGGATAAGATTATTCTATCAGCTCGAGGGTAGCTTTGTCGATTTATTAACCGCTGGGGTTTGTGAAACTAGTCGCTGGGGTTTGTGAAGCGAGTGTGAGACGAAAGCCTTGAGGGGTAAACAGTACAGCTTGGTGGTGGGATGAAACAGAGCGGCCATTGTTGTTCTGAGCATCATTTCATCGAGCTTTTGTGCCGTGTTGATGACACTGTGCGTGAAAATAATAATTAGAAAGGAACTATTTACAACTTCACCCCTATACTTTAAATTTCCTGTCACTTTTATATCAAGACATAAAAAGTTAAACATTACTACTAGCCTAATAGAAAGCTCAGCATAATCATTGAAATATAAGGTAAACACATCTTTAATTTGCAAAAACAGTACAACTTACTAGCATGTAATGTCATTTTCATATCATTCTTACACCAGACACCTATAATGCTAGGCTCGCAACGGCTCATCCCTGTCGTCAGCATTTTGCGCCTCCAACTCATCTTTGTCTCCGTAATTCTCAGCGTTCTGTTCTCGACATACATTTTTTTTCTTTTGGTTTCGAACAGAAAGAAAAAAAGAGCAGCTAAAGAATGTAATTAACCTAGAACAAAAAGATTTTTAACCCTAGCTAACCGTACAAACATTTCTCTCTTCTTTATATCTTAATTAAGGTGTGTGTGTATGTGTGTGTGTGTATATATATATATAGTGTACCCGCGCAAAGCAGCGGCGACAAATAGTTTTCGGGCTGTAATTAACTCATTTCGTTGAATAGTTTCCTTGTGGCAAAACAGTAAATAAAAATTTAATAATGAATCTTGTACATCAAATTGTCACGAATGAAATAACCATTAACCATAACAAATAAAAAACAGTAGTAAACAGAAGATCTATCCTCCTAACTACTATGCCATGAAACAAAAGGTTCACATGCATCAAATCAATCACTCGTATAGCTTTTGCTAATCATCCTTAAATTTAGCCTTCACTCATGCTTAACCATTATTAATTTTTGGTTTGCATATTAAATGTTTCAACAAAATTCTTATGTTTCCGACTAGAAATTTTCATGCTTAAGCAAGTTGTAATGTTTTTTTTGTACAACAATAAAGCAAAGTTTAAGAAGGTTATAAATTCTTATGAAGCTATAAATTCTGAAAGAAATAACATCAATAAAGAAAAATAAGCTTGCTGAAGAATGGAAACTCGGTTTGAAGACCGGTGAAGAATGGAAAGTAAGGCAACAATATTCGTTCAGAATGGATTAACATTTTTTTTTATCAGAATGATTAGTTACTATATTCTATCATAATGTATTAGTATTTTACTTAGATTTCAATGTTTTGATTTGATTTTTAATCATTCTCAGTTTTATTCTTAAAGAATAAATGTAATTGTTTAACCATTATTACTTATATTCTTTAGAAGAATGTCATTTATGTATGTTCATAATTGTTTTGTTAAGAATGAATATAATTACTGATTTTAAGATATTAAAATTATTTTCACATGAAATTTGTATTCATTAAAAATTATTCATCTTGATAATACATGTTTATAATATTTTGTCAGAATTTAATATTTTTTTTCAAGATAATCATAAACATATTCCTTTAGAATGTACGATATAATATATTTATATCGAAAAAAATCAGATTTTTAAAATTTAGAGAATTAATTATTCCTTAAAATCTGTACATCAAATTGTCACGTATGAAAGAACTATTAACCATAACAAATAAAAAACAGTAATAAGACGATCTATCCTCCTAACTACTATGCCATGAAACAAAAGGTTCACGTGCATCAAATCAATCACTCGTATAGCTTTTGTAAATCATCCATAAATTTGGCCTTCATTGGTCCCTTTTTAACTTGAGTGCAGCTGTTACTAATCCGGATTCAGGTGTCCATGGATCTGGCAGCAGCTTTATCTTTGCAGGAAGCTCAAACATGTCTAACTTTGCCTCTTTTCCTAACTACAAAACACAATTCATAAGAAAAAGGTGGGAGGATATGATGAACAAAGACATAAACACCCTCATTGAAATATAAATTAAAACCAACTTTGGAGAGAGATTGGTGGACCTCGGAGACAGCCTCTTTTTTAGCACAAAGCTCAACATAATCATTGTAACTAATGCCACCACTTTTGGCCCATTGCTCAAGAACCTGGTGTGCAGTGCAGACTCTACTAATGATACACATAACTGGTCTATACGGTTAGAGGATTAAAAATCTTTTTTCTAGGTTAATTTCATTCTTTAGCTGCTCTTGTTTTCTTTCTGTTCGAAACCAAGGGAAAAATGTATGTCGAGAACAGAATGTTGAGAATGTAGGAGACGGAGATGAGTTGGAGGCGCAGAATGCCGAGAATGCCGAACAGATCTTCTTCCGTCGTCGGCATTGGGTTAAACACAATAATTTTCGATTAATGGTGTTTTTGTCAACAAAAACACAATCTCTCTACAAAGTTGCTCCCATGACCTGCTGAACAGATCATCACGCGAAACTAATGTCGTCATTAATTGTGTTTTTGTTAACAAAAATCCCAACTTTAGTCCTTTTTGATCTGTACTAAAAAAACACAATAACTGGTGTGTACGGTTAGCTAGGGTTAAAAAATTTTCTTCTACGTTAATTTCATTTTTTAGCTACTCTTGTTTTCTTTCTTTTCGAAACCAAAAGAAAAAAAAAGTATGTCGAGAACAGAATGCTGAGAATGCCGGAGACGGAGATGAGTTAGAGGCGCACTCAAATTAAAAAGGGAACAATTGAAGGCCAAATTTAAAGATGATTTGCAAAAGCTATACAAGTGATTGATTTGGTGCACGTGAATCTTTCTTTTCATGGCATAGTAGTTAGGAGGATAGATCGTTTGTTTACTGTTTTATTTGTTATGGTTAATGGTTCTTTCATACGTGACAATTTGATGTACAAGATTCATTATTAAATTTTTATTCACTGTTTTGCCACAAGGAAACTATTCAACGAAATGAGTTAATTACCGCCCAAAAACTATTTGTCGCCGCCACTTTGCGCGGGTACACCACTAGTATATATATATATATATATATATATATATATATATATATATATATATATATATATAATATACACACACACACACACGCGTTAATTAAGAAGAGAGATGAAAGAATGTTGTACGGTTAGCTTGGGTTAAAAATCTTTTCTTCTAGGTTAATTTCATTCTTTAGCTGCTCTTGTTTTCTTTCTGGTTCGATACCAAAAGAAAAAAAGGTATGTCGAGAACAGAATGTTGAGAATGTCGGAGGCGGAAATGAGTTGGAGGCGCAGAATGCCGAGAATGCCGATGACGGGGATGAGCCTTGCATTATAGGTGTCTGGTGTAAGAATGATATGAAAGTGGCGTTACATGCTAGTAAGGTGTACTGTTTTATTCTTACCACACATACACACTCACAAAAGACATGAATTTTGTTCCAAGTGGAAGTGGAAAGTGAATTGTAATAAGTTTATGCAAAGATTATCTGATTGTGACGTCTGCATATAGATGGTTGTAAACTTTAAACAATTGAGTAGAAGAAAAATACTACAAATAAGGAGATTGAATTGGCTAATATTGTGATTGCGCTTGCTTTGGACTTCATCAAGAAGTTGCCTCTAGCAAGTAAAATGTCCGAGTTAATTCATTATTAATCATTTAAAAGCATCAGTAGTAGTAGTAGTAAGTAATTAACATCATCATTCATATAATGGTGTTTTGTTTAGTGGCTTACAATAGTAGATGAAAAGGGGAGTCGATTATTGGTTGGGCAGAAAAAAAAAAAGAATAGCAACAAGGGCTTTCTGATAGCTTCTTCCCTTCCAATTAAAAACTTCCTGCTTTGGACTTGTAGTTTAATTTTTTTTAATTTTTTTTCATTATTGTTTTAATTAAACTATGTAAAAAGTATAGTTTACTCAATCCAAAGTAAGGTTGTTAGTTTTTAACAATTAATTGATACTCAAGTTTTATGTAATATTAAATAAATATATTTGAACATAAACAGAAACAGAAACCCTTAGCATATCGAATCCCTCAAACAATCTTGAGGTTTTGGTTTGATCTTGACGGGTTTACCAAGCTTAGATTTATCTTCCATTTTTGCAATATGACGACTCTTGTCAGAAACAGAAACAGAAACAGGAAACCCTTAGCATCATACCATGATTCCAAAATTACCCCTGACCCCACACAAAGCTCTTGTTGATAAAAAGCTGCAAATTGGCCATCTGCGAGACCGTGATCGTCTTTAGGTAACTGGACAGCGCCAATAGCATATTTTTCTTCTATATGCAAACTGCAATCATAGAAAAGAGGGCCATGTCGAACCTGTCAAAAACACGTGTAAATGTATATTAAGTTTGTTATTAACTGAAAAATTGAATTCATGTAATGTTTATGTTTACCTTGCATCTTAAGTGGTTTAAGTTGTGAGGAGGACATACGCTGATCCTTCTAAAGGATCCAACACGAAATGATCGTCGTCTTTTATCAACCAAATAATAGTTTCTTGATACAAAAATCATATTATTTTTTTACATCTTTCTCAACAACATACCTGCATAGAAACATGACATGTATTTTTTTATAAATAAATTACTCTTTAAAGATTTTTACATAATAATAATAATAATAATAATAATAATAATAATAATAATAATAATATTAAAAGGTTTACCATGGTCTTCCTGCAAGACCCAAACCTTGGCGTTGACCAATTGTGTAAAACCAGAAACCCCTGTGGACTCCTAAAAAATCACCTATTTCAGCATCTAATAATATACCTTCTTTTTCACCAATATGTTTTCCAACAAATTCTGTGAACCAAATCAGTATAATAACTACATAAATTCCACTTATATATATATATAATATATATATATATATATATATATATATATATATATATATATAATATTGTATTATATATAATATATTTAATATATATATATATATAATAATATATATATATATAATATATATATATATATATATATATATTATATATACATCTCCAAAGTTGGGATTTTTGTTAATAACATAACATAAACATCCCTCCAAGAAAGCATATTCCCTATGAATCCCTCTTCTTGGTTAGGCAAATCAAATTTCGGGCAAACCTTCGGACTTCTTCCTGATAATTTGATTGGTTTAAATAGTAAATTCATGAATTCTGTTTTGTGTTTCATAAAGCAAACTTACTTACTTTTGGAATAATTCTAAGAGGAAAATACTACAAATAAGGAGATTGAAGTGGCTAATATTGTGATTGCGCTTGCTTTTGACTTCATCAAGAAGTTGCCTCGAGAAAGTAAAATGTCTGAGTTAATTTCATTATAATCATTTTAGTAAAAGCAGTAACATCATCAATTCATCATTAATGGTGTTTTGTTCAGTGGCTTACAATGGTAGATGAAAAGGGGAGTCGATTATTGGTTGGGCAGAAAAAAAAAAGAATAGCAACAAGGGCTTTCTGATAGCTTCTTCCCTTCCAATTAAACCTCCTGCTTTGAACTTGTAGTGTAATTTTTTTAAATTTTTTTTCATTATTGTTTTAATCAAACTATGTAAAAGTATTGTTTACTCAATCCAATGTAAGGTTGTTATTTTTTAACAATTAATTGATACTCAAGTTTTCTGTAATATTAAATAAATATATTTGAACATAAATAGAAACATGAAACCCCTTAACATATCGAATCCCTCAAACAATCTTGAGGTTTTGGTTTGATCTTGACGGGTTTACCAAGCTTAGATTTATCTTCCATTTTTGCAATATGACGACTCTTGTCAGAAACAGAAACAGAAAAAGAAACAGGAAACCCCATAGCATCATACCATGATTCAAAAATTACCCCTGACCCCACACAAAGCTCTTGTTGATAAAAAGCTGCAAATTGGCCAGCTGCAAAACCCTGATCGTCTTCAGGTAATTGGACAGTGCCAATACCATCTTTTTCTTCTATATGCAAACTGCAATCATAGAAAAACGGACCATGCCGAACCTGTCAAAAGGATCCAACACGAAATGATCGCCTTCTTTTATCAACCGAATAATAGTTTCTTGATACAAAAATCAGATTATTTTTTACATCTTTCTCAACAACATACCTGCATGGAAACATGACATGTATTTTTTTATAAATAAATAAATCTTTAAAGATTTTTGCATAATAAAATAATAATAATAATAATAATAATATAATAATAATAATAATAATAATAAAATAATAATAAAAGGTTTACCATGGTCCTCCTGCAAGACCTAAACCTTGGCGTTGACCGATTGTGTAAAACCAGAAGCCCTGTGGACTCCTAAAAAATCACTTGTTCAGCATCTAATAATATACCTTTTTTTCACCAATATGTTTTCCAACAAATTCCCTGAACCAAATCAGTATAATAATTACATAAATTTTCACTTAATATATATGTGTATATATATTATATATATATATATATATATATATATATATATAATACCTATATATAATATATATACATATATATATATATATATATCATCTCCAAAGTTGGGATTTTTGTTAATAAACATAACATAAACATACCTTCCCAAGAAAGCATATTCCCTGTGAATCCCTTCTTTCTTGGTTAGGCAAATCAAATTTTCGGGCAAGCCTTCGGACTTCATCCTGATAATTTGATTGGTTTAAATAGTAAATTCATGAATTCTGTTTTGTGTTTCATAAAGCAAACTTACTTACTTTTTGAATACATCCAATAGGAAGCACTAGTCATTTAAGCTGAGCTTGAGAGAGATATGAAAGAAAGTAGGTCTCATCCTTCACCTGAAATTCTAACATGTATCCCTCACTGACAGGTATCAGGAAGTTGGAATGAAAATAAGTAGATCATATCTTCACCATATCCTTTGACAGCTGAAGAAATAAAAGCTCATTGGTTTCATCTGTAAGGGCGTGAATAACTTTTGCATAATGTCCAGAAGCAACAAACTCAAAATCCATGTTACTAATGGCATCCATGAACGCACCTACAGATATAAAATAAAAATGAAATTAATGACAAATAAGAACAATAAAAGATGAAAGCAAGCAATATAATTACGTACCAATTTTGAATCTTGTATTGCAAAGAACATCAGGGTTAGGTGTACACCCACATTTATACTCATCAATAAGGTAAGATACCTGCAACATATTAACTTGTTAGCAATAAGTTCCATTGATGATGATGAATGTGAGAAAATGCATCAAGAGGGGTGTGACTAACCACTTTGTCCTAATATTCATCTGTCAGTTGTACAACTTCGAGTGCTACACAATCAACCTGAAAAAAAAATGTTATATATTTCCTTCAATACTAATCAAACTTGAAGAAGAAACAAAAAGATCGCATCATCAGGGATTAGAGTGATAGAATCGATAAAGAGTTAATCTGTTTATTTAACAACAAAGCAGGGAAATGTTTTTGAGCCTTCAAATCCAGTTAAGCACTAATGGAAATCTGAAGATAAAATGAGATGGATAATATGAAGGTGATGAAAGTAACCTGATTGCAAACAGCTTTTGCATACTTCAAATCCTCTTCCCATGGACATTCAGACCAAAAGTTCTGGAAATCTTCCTACGAACGAATTTAGTACCAGAACTAGCTAAGGAATAATAGGTTTCAAACTTCAAAATGCTCAAAGACAAAGCGAAAGGTAAAAGTAAAATAAGAAACCAATAAGAGAGGGAGATTTTATTCATTTTCAATCATATCATCCAGCAAAAAATCGATGTTAAACTCTTGAATTGGAGCAGATGTATCATCCGACAAGAGATGAGAAATTTGCAAAAACATACAATTTGAATTTTTCGGATAACCAAAAAAATTAAGTTTTATATTCGAAAAACCAGACATTATGGGGCATAAACTGAATGATTTTATTCGTTCGTATATGCAATGTAATGTGCAATCAAAAGAAAAGCATACGCACTTGGAACCAGATTTTAAGGTAGAAAGCGTTACAGGAATGTCCGGCTGCATGGAGGAGGCGAAGTGCGACACTGCTATCAACGCCACCACTGAGAAGAACCGCAATTTTGAGAGGGCGCTTGCTATTCAGCATTGAGCAAGACAAGTAACTGTTGTCCAAATAAGAAGTCGTGTCGTTAGAAATTTGGGGAACTGCTGTAGATGATAGAGAACGAGGTGTGTTGATGGATAAGATTGTTCTATCAGCTCGAGGGTAGCTTTGTCGATTTATTAACCACTGGGGTTTGCGAAGCGAGTGTAAGACGAAAGCCTTGAGGGGTAAAGAGTACAGCTTGGTGGTGGGGTGAAACAGAGTGGCCATTGTTGTTCTGAGCATGATTTGATCGAGCTTTTGCGTCGTGTTGATGACACTGTGCGTGAAAATAATAATTTAGAATGAAGTATTTACACTTTCACCCCTATACTTTAAATTTCCTGTCTTTTATATCAAGACATAAAAAGTTAAACATTACTACTAGCCTAATAGAAAGCTTAGCAAAATCATTGAAATATAAGGTAAAAACATCTTTAAATTTGCAAAAACAGTACAACTTACTAGCATGTAATGTCATTTTCATATCATTCTTACAACCAGACACCCTATAATGCTAGGCTCTCAACGGCTCATCCTCGTCGTCAGCATTTTGCGCCTCTAACTCATCTCTGTCTCCGGCATTCTCAGCGTTCTGTTCTCGACATACATTTTTTCTCTTTTGGTATTGGGTTAAACACAATAATTTTTGATTAATGGTGTTTTTGTCAACAAAACACCAATCTCTCTCCAAAGTTGGTCCCAGGGACCTGCTGAACAGATCATCACGTGAAACGAATGTCGTCATTAATGGGTGTTTTGTTAACAAAAATCCCAATTTAGTCCTTTTGATATGTACTAAAAAACACATAACTAGTGTGTACGGTTAGCTAGGGTTAAAAATCTTTTTCTAGGATAATTTCATTTTTTAGCTGCTCTTGTTTTCTTTGCCTTCGAAACCAAAAGAAAAAAAAA